TTCTTTATAATTCACTAAAAATAATAATACGTACTTTATCGAATTGTAGGCAGCGAGCATAAACCAGTTATTCAAAAAGATATCGATGTTAAAAGACTTGCGGTTTTGTATCTAATCTGCAAAAATAATTTGAAAGTATATACCGAGGCCTAAAAACGTACAACTCGTCAGTAGTTTATGAAAACATAACTGGTTACCATTAATTCACTGTGTTAGTATTCAAATCATGCAAATGCAATCTTTAAATCAGAAAAATAACGTCACGATGATACACTCAAAACGGAGAGTTCTTGTGATTGGGACCACGGCAAACAAACAGATCTCGCCCGGTTCCTGATGTTTCGAAAAGTAGAAGATCGTGAATGACAATTATAGAAAATTCTTATGACGTTATTAAAACTACAAGTAAATGGGAACTTAAATATGAAATGTTCGTTACAGACGTTTTCCAATTTGAATATAAAGCTTTTAAGACAAACAATTTTTGAATTGATTTCGTTTAAATATGTTCGTTTCCATACATTTAAAAATAAAAAGGGCTTCTAAGACAAATCTTGTTAGTTTTGAGTGCAAAAGAATGGTGAAACCTAAAGAAAAACACTTTCTATTTCGAATTCGCATAGCAACCCTAAAGAATCACCGATTGAATAATAGAATTCAAAGATTGTAAAATAAAACAGGTATTATGCCTAATTTTATTGTTTATTCTATTTATTTATACAGATTATTAGAAAAGCAGTATCAGGAATGTTACCAAAAAATAGATTGAGGGATATTCGACTCAGTAGATTAAAGGTTTTTCCAGAATCCAAACATTCGTATGAAAAGACTATTATAAAAAGATATGACCAAGAAACAATGTTATTGGATGGTAATAATGATCATTTTTCAAAGATTTATAGAAAAGAATTGAGGAACAAAGAAAGAAGAATTAGAAGATTAGAAACAAAAGAGAAAGCCAACACCATCAAAAACACCAACACAACAAATTCTTCCTATCAAAACAAAATTAAATAACTATTTATCATTGATTTATTTTTAATGATGGAATTTGGATTTTTTTCCTGGTGACCAATTAATTGTTGCTTTTTGAGTGATATTCCAATATTCCAACTTTATAGTTAATTCTTTAGCTCTAACGAAATCTTTTGCATTAAAAGCATCCGATAAATCTTTTATTATCTGATTGATGTTTTCTATCAAGTAAACAAATAAACAAATAATTAATTAATTAAATTGTTGTTTAAATAATATTTGTAAATTAATATGGGTGTATTTTTTTGTTACACGACAGATTTTAAAAATCTGGTGGCACCAAAAAAAATTGATTTTCTCAGATGATGATGACACTCATATTATTTATTATATTTACCATCACATTCTAATTTGATCGATTTCACTTCATCTTCACTTTCGGCTTCCTCCAATTTCTCTCTTGACTCCCAAGTTTCCATCAACAATTGTGGATCTTGTACAGATTCTGATTCTGATATATCAATGTTATTCAAATGAAGCTTTTTAGAATAATAATGATGATGATGGTTTTGAATTATTATTATTTTTTAATTTTAAAGTTTTATAGTTATTTCAACAATATAAATTAAGAATATTTACTATATATTTAGCTCTTAAAAGAGGTTCCTTCAATACTTGATAAGCTTTGTTAATCGAAGAAGAAAGTTGTTGTGCATTTGTATATTCTTGCTATATAATATTTAATTGCTATTAATCCATACCTTCAATATTAGAAATAAACTGATTATTTATTAATTATTAACTCA